CTATACTATATGGACGGGTTGGGTACCTTATTCTGGTAACACTATGGATACAGCCCACTTTGTAATAATTACAAATGACTTGATCCAGGTCGTTCGTGTGGAGACATACGAGTGAGGGTATCCCTTACAATCAGTTTGTATAAGACCAGACAACGAAATAATTAATCTTTAGCTATAACACCATTAGCTAATAGATTAATATTTCAATAGGATGACTAGGTAGCTCGATCTCAATTCGAGTGAGTTATGGACTCTTGCCTGTTAGGGCTCGTCCTTGGATTTGTATGGGTGAGAGTGGCTCGAGTTGCTGACTCAATCTGTCTACCATTTTGAGGACAAGACCAAGCAGGCAACTGGGAACATAACTACACAAGATGGAATTCACTCATTATCGACTTTAGGGTAAGTAGATGAGTGCTCTCTTAAGTGCTGACTCCAGTACTTGAACAAGGGGCCCCACCCTCTCACTGGCCCGAAAGGGACTTCCGGTTATTGGTTGGACCATAACTGGGTTGTTCATTAGAGGATCAGCGAGACTTAAGGTACAAGATGTAACAGAGAGGTAAAATTATTTAATTTAATTAAATTAATAATTATTGAAGTGAGTCAGGAAGTGGTGACTTCCCCCCAACCCTGCTTCCGTATAAAAGGGAGGCTCTCCCAATTCCTTTTCATAGTTCTCAGTCTTCGGTTGTTGAGTTTTCAAAACTCTAATGAGAAATTCTCTCTCTATCTCTTGGTTTCCCTTTCAATTATAAGACGACTCCCACAAACCGAGTTCTTAATATCCACAGGATAGCGAGGAAGACTTTGTGGTGTCGTTGGTGTTTGTATTCAAGAGGTGTCTTCAAAGGTAAGTATCATTAACTTCCTTCTATTCATGCTTATATGTTTTTTCTTTGTTCTAATCCTAAGACATGATCGAAGCACACACGTTCGCGTGCTTCCGCTGTGGGATCTGATCCCTTATAAAGATTTAAGGGCAGACGTGGAGGAGCAGTTGGGGTAGTAGGTCTTAAAAAGGAAAATTGAGGAACCCCCCCCCCACCACCCCCTATCCCTAACACGATTTTTTAACTTCTCCCACAAACTCAAATTTATTCAAATTTGAAATTTGAACTTGCCTTCAGCCGAATTAATTATCACCTCCATTCCACATTACCTACTGCCTTTCCTTAATTAGGAAAATACTAATCTACTATTCCCTTGAATGCCCGACAGCTGCCTTAGTTGTGTTTCCACACGCTATTGCTATCATGGCCTCTCTCTCTTGTCTTTTGCAAAATAAATGCTCCCTCAGCCTTCACCAACCAGCCATTTATTGAAATCAAATAAGCGCTCCAACTTTCGTCTGCTCTGTCTTGAACATGCTTCATCTACTATTCTCTGGGCTCATCACTCTATTCAGACTTTGTCCTATGCTTCATAACCTGTGCATTTACACAATAAATAAGAGCATTTAGCCAAAGCATTCAAGACCAGAGACTTTTAGCTCAAAGTTTGGTTTATAAGATTTTTCATGACGCCTTAGAGCTAAAACTGACACACTTTGACATTTCCTTGCATAAAAACACCCAAATATGCACTCAAATAACTCTCTTTTGGAGAGTTATCACACCCCCAAACTTAAAATCTTGCTTGTCCACAAGCAAGAGCATGTAATTTACATTTCTTCACAAAGAAGGAATGTTAGAAACTTGGACTTCAAACATCCAGCCCTATGCGTTACCCTTTCATTTTGATAAAAAAATGCTAGAACTTACATACTCTGCTAAGTACTCCAGCTGCAGCAAAGAAATGAAGGCAGCCTAAGTTTGTTCACGCTCTGGAAGACGCTATTTTCTACCCAGCTTTAGTTTCCTTCTACTTCCCAACCTCAAGTTTACTTCCCCAAGGAATTTCTTTCTCAAGCCTCTTTCTATAGTCCAAAACTTTAATCCTTGCACTACCAACTTCGGCTTTTTTAACCATGGGCTACTAGCCCCTCTTTTATTGATGTTTTATTTGGGTTGAATTCTAGGATTAGAAAGATTCATGGTTGTATACAAATACTAATAAAGGTAAAAGAACTGAAGGTTTTCTCCCCCAAACTAAAAAGGTTGCATTTTCCTCAATGCAGCGAAGGAAATCTAGAATGTAATGCTTCACCACGCCCCCAAACTTAAAGCGAGGATAAGATGAGAAGGATAATGATGTTCGCTATCAGGATGTATACATGAGTGCGAAGGGCTAATGCTAACAACTAAGGGGATCTAATAGAAGATGTCCATGCTAGCTATACAAAGATAAAAGTTGACTTTGGATAGATGACCATTGAAATTCCTCCCTAGGGTAAGCGATACCTAGGGACAGTACTACGAGAGGGATGCTATGGCATGGATAAGCAAACATGAACTAGAGGGAGAACAAAAGAAAGCTAACCCTCATTAAAATGCTCCAGCATCAAGACTATATACAAAAGTGCATGACAAGAGACAAATGTTGAGAACACAGGCTTTCCAACACAATTTTTTTCATTACATTCAGTTGGGGGGGGATGTTCACATATTGACTGGAATAAAACGAAACAGAAACTACTGGGCAGCAACATAAAGATATAATTTAAATGCAAGAAACTAAATTGAAATCTAATATAAAAAATTAAACACGCAGGGGGGGTCAGTTGTTAAAGCAAAAAGGAAGGGTGCTTCCTTTTCGCCTGTAAAGCAAAGCTTCATTTGAAGGAAGCTTTCTTCTTCCTCCAAAGAGTTGTCCGTAGGCTAATACTCCTCTTCAGAGCTTTTCGACTACTCCAACAGGACTTTCAGGCCAGTAGGGGGTGCAGCGCTACCAACATGCCAGCATTCTTCTTCTTACCTTGATTGGCAAAGGCCAACTGTGCCTTTTCCATACGCGTTAGCTGCTTTTAAAACTTTGCAAATTGGGCCATCATTTCATTGATGGTCGTTGTAGGCATCGCTCTACGCCATGCAGGGTCTTGAAACATGAGAGCGTATGCTTGTCTTTCAAGGGCTCCTCGTCGTCAAGGACTGGAACATCTCTGCGGAGATAGAGATTGGTGATGAGGTTGGGGAAAAACAGGCGGTCGATTCTCTTTAAAGCACATTGGGCGATTTCCCTATGTATAAGTTGTCCGACGTCTATAGAGCGTCCATCTAAGATGCAGGCCAACAGAAGTACCCTGTCATTTGGAATAGATGAATCATGCGTTGTGTGCATGATTTGGCTCTTGACAAAGTAGAGCCAGACGTTAGCTTCGGCAGTGAGTTGACAAGACTTCAGCGAGCGGGCGCCTTTGTCTCTGACCTGCCATGCGGCACCTTTTACCCCTACCAGTTGTAGGGCATGGTAAAGCTTTATGATAGAGTGCTACTAGACAAGCTCATTAAAATCTGCATGCGGGTTGCTTGGGAGCTTGAAGATTTTGTTGATCCTTTATGGCGTCTGATCCACCTTGACCTCCCGTACCACTATGTGGCCCACCCTGTCAACGTCGAAGTTTGAGTAGAACTCCCGCACTAGCTCCGTTAGGACTGTCATAGGGGGTGCAAAAAAATGCTCCCACTTCAGCTTAGCTGCTCCCTCCTTTACGAACTGAGGCATGTCCGCCTCGATAAAGCCATTCTCGAGGTAAATATCTATGCCCTTGATGGTTCTGTAGTTAGACTGCATCGCTGGGTCCACAAACTTCTGAAAAAGATGCCTGGTATGACGACA